CGGCCCAAGGACTCGGTTGTGATCTCGGCCAAGGCTGCTGAGATCACCCCCTCGGACCAGTTCGCCATGGGGTGGACACTGCGGTTCCCGAGGTTCCGGCGGCTGCGGCTCGACAGGGCCTGGGATTCAGCCCTCGATGTGGACGGGTTCGATCAGCTGCGGAACAGGGTCGATCAGGAGCTCAAGGAGCGGAAGGAGATGAATGTGGAGAACCGGAGGAGGAAGCCGACGAAGCGCGCGAAGAGGGAGCTGGTGATCGCGGGCGCCGACCCGGGCCTGGCGCCGGCCAGGCTGGACGTGCGGAGGCCCAAGACGAGGATCTTCGACGGCATGGAGTTTTGCGTCTTGTCCGAGAGCCTGAAGCCGGTCAAGAAGAGCAAGGCGCAGCTCGAGGCGCTCATCAAGGAGAACGGCGGGCAGATCAGCCAGCGGCCCGACAGGTCGGGCGGGATGATCATCGTTGCTGATAAGAAGGTGGTCAAGGTGGCTAGTCTGCTCAAGGAGGCTGGCGGGGCGGACGTTGTCAGGCCCAAGTGGGTGTTTGACTGTCTGGCGCAGCTGAAAACGCTGGGCGGTAACGAGCGCTACCTCTTGCCGTTTGAGGAGGCGCATCTGTTCACTGCTACTGAAGCGACCAGAGAGCGGGCAGCCAAGAACTCGGATCAGTTTGGTGATAGCTACGCCAGAGATGTCGATGTAGACGAGCTCGCTGAGATTCTCAAGGGGATGCCGAAGTCCGAGGATCGTGGCGAGGATGGATTTGATGCGGACGAGTTCTTGGACCAGCTGGAAGAGCATGGACATTCGGTTGGGGGCACGAAAGGGACGATATGGCGGCGGTGTCGGGTCCACTTCGCTCTGGGCGAGGGTGTGTCTGAGCTCCGGACACTGAGGCTCGAACACTATATCCGCTTCGGAGGTGGCCATGTGGTCGATGACATGGACGATAAGAAGATCACGCAGGTTGTCGTTGTTGCTGCAGACAGCAAATCCCAGAGAGCATTGGCTGCCGACGTGCGCTCTCGGGTTAGTGCGCGGAGACAGGTGCCGAGGATTGTCACCAGCAAATGGGTCGAGGACTGCTGGAAGGAGAGCACGCTTGTTGATGAGGAGCCTTATGCTCCCAGTTGAGAGCGGCGAGTTGATGCTTTCAAGCAAGAGCATGTTCATGATACTAGGTATCTATTGTAGCGGCTAGCTCTGGGAGTCTGTGAGCTTGAATTGAGTATCCGGCAGCATTGTTGTCTGTCTATCAACGGGCTTCTATGCCATTCACCGTGATGACCAAACAATTCCGCCTGCCTTGTCTAGCACCAAGCGCAGGTCTTGCGCCCTGGTATCATTACTCGTCTCATGTAACTTCATGCCCCAGTTTCTAACGTCTACTTCCCAATAGTCAAGAACAACCGATCACCCACATCCCCCAACCCGGGCTTCAGCATCCCCCGATCAGTGAGCTCCTCGTCCACGCCGGCAATCCAGATCTCGACGCCATCGGCCCATTCGTGCGCGGCCCGGCGCACACCCGCCGCCGCGCCCACCACGGACAAGACGATGACTCGCCTTGCGCCCCACTCGCGCAGGGTCTGGATGGCGGCGGCGCAGGTACCGCCGGTGGCGATGACGGGATCCAAGATGATGGCGAGGGACGAGCCGGGCTCGCCCTGGTGGTTGGGCAGGTTGTTGTAGTACTCGACTGGCTCGAGGGTGGTGGGCTCGCGGAAGAGGCCGAGGTGGTGCACGGGGACCGGGGTGGGGAGGAGGGTCTGCAGGGCCTCGACCATGGCCAGGCCGGAACGGAGGATGGGGACCAGGGAGATTGTCTCCGGGGCTATGGTTGTTGTTGTGTAGGTGTAACCCAGCGGTGTCTCGTCCTAGAGTCCCTCCTGCATTAGAAACGCGGATAAGCGGTCTGGGGAAAAGGGTCAAGTCACAAACCTCGGGACCGGCCACGGTGGAGATCTTAGATGCCAGGGCCTCGATGCCGAGTACGAGTGAGATCTCGTGGACGAGCGCTTTTACTTCCTTTGCGTTCGTGTTCTTCGACCGTAGCTGGCTGAGCTTGGCGACGAGACATGGGTGGTTGGAGACGTGGACGTTGGACGGTAAGCTCGACATTGTGAGAGCGATAGGGAATCTAGGCCCTGTATACTGGTAACACAGGGTAGAGTAGTTACAGGGAGATGCGATCACTTGTCTTTAGGAAGTGGCTCTTCTACCAGGTTTGAGACGCTGTGAATCTAGGACGCAAAGCGTGAGAATAATATGTGTTTTATGTTCCCCAGTCTATGAATGATTAATCTGAGGTGAGCCCAAGCTATCATATATGGAATGGAAGGGCAGGAAGGGGCAGGAAGGGGCAGGAGGAGCTGGTTATGGCGGGGAAGCATCCCGGCCAATGCACCGATAAGACAAACAGTTAGGCATCGATAAGCGATAGTCGGGACTGCACCTGCCGTTAGTGCCCGCTGTTTCCCCCTGCGTCTCTGGAATCCGTACGTAATTGGGCGGATGCCAGTGTCGGGTGACCCTTTTGTTTTCCCTTGCTGCAATTGAAGAGAAAGGTACCTCACCTAGAGTCTCAGGTAATTGTCGCCGTAAATACACAGAGTGAGGCAGAGTGAACAGATTATATCTAGAGTCTAAGGTAAGCATTTGTGAAGAAGATAGCTCCTACGTCATCTGTCCACTCCGCATCTGAGCCTTCAGTTACCTGGGATTCAATTGAGTGGCATGTCGAGCCCCGTTATTTGCGGCGTGGGAATCGGACGGATATCACGGCACTCTCCGGACCTCCAACCTCAAATTTCACATGAGATCTCACCGTCGGATTGAGCAAACACATCGCAACATGTGCAACAGTCCGAAGTTTGAGGCTGATTGCCCATCGGTACATATAAGACAGCTTAAAGGCATGCTATAACCAATTTGCCAGCGGAAATTGCCGCAACAAGGACATCATGACACAACAACCGCCAGCGCCAGGAATTGCTCCAGACGGTCTCGCACAAGAACCCTCTCCGACCTCCGAAAATCAGGTCGAATCGGACCGCCATGCCACACAGCAACTACAGCGCGGCACCTCTCACCGCTCGCGCGTGAGCAGGAACGAGCGAAGGGCTTCCACGACGTCGCAAGTCGACTACGATCTTCCCGGCGGGTACGCGGACCTCGACGACCAGCCCCCTGTCCAGAACCCAGATGACGACGAGCTCGTCCGCCGGCAGACGACAGGGCGTCCGGATTCCGCAGGAGATAATGTAATCTCGAGGACCCTGTCCTCGACATCCTCAACTCGGCAGGCGCGTCTTGCTCGTCGGCGCTCCTCCGCTGCGCAGGTCGACTACGATGTCCCGGACCTGTACGCAAACCTGGACGAGGTGGCCGCCGGCTCGCCCGTGCAGAATCCGGAAGAGGAGCCCGTGTATCGCCATCAGAGCCTGGAAGAAGTGCGTAGTCAGGACGCACAGGACCGGCGGCGCAGGAGCCGAGCGGAGAGCAAAGAGCCAAGTTTTGGTGGTAGAGTACCGGGAATTCCAGACGCCAGGACCCGCGCAGAGGATAGCAGCGCGTTCAAGGTCTCCCGATTGGCGACACAGCTCTACACCATATCATACCTCATCTTCTTCTCCATCCTCGGCACCTTGGCTCGATTGGGGTTGCAAGCATTGACCTACTACCCCGGGGCACCTGTCATTTTCTCCTCCATATGGCCCAATTTCACCGGTAGCTTGATCATAGGATTCCTAGCGGAGGACAGGATGCTCTTCAGCCACGAATGGGGCGTGCCCATGTACGCGGCGGAAGTCAGGAAGGCCAGGGAGCAAAACGGCAAAGAGGAGGAGAGCGGCGGATCGGCCTCGGACTCCCCCGCGGCCGCTAACCTGGCGGCGGCGAAGAAGGCCTACGCTGCGACCAAGAAGACCATACCGCTTTACATCGGCCTAGCGACTGGGTTCTGCGGCTCGTTCACGTCCTTCTCATCTTTTATCCGGGATGTTTTTCTGGCATTGTCGAATGACCTTGCCACTCCCGATACAGCGGCACCGGTCCCCAGGAATGGGGGCTACTCCTTCATGGCGCTCGTCGCAGTGATCCTGCTCACTGTATCCATGTCTCTGTCGGGCCTATTCATCGGGGCGCACCTCGCCATCGCCACCGAGCCGCTGGTGCCGGCGCTGCCCTTCCTCTTCATGCGCAAGTTCCTGGACCGGTGTGCCGTTGTCCTCGGATGGGGCTGCTGGCTCGGCGCTGTCTTACTCTCGGCGCTGCCACCGGATCGCGACGACCCGGGGCCAGAGACCTGGCGTGGACGCGCTACGTTTGCGTTGGTTTTCGCGCCCCTGGGGTGTCTGGCCCGGTTCTACGCTTCGCTTTATCTCAACGGCAAGATCGCGTCGTTTCCCCTGGGAACCTTTGCAGTTAATGTCTCCGGCTCGATTGTCCTTGCTATGGCTTGGACTCTTGCCCATGTCCCTCTCGGAGGCGTTGTGGGATGCCAGGTGCTGCAGGGGATTGAGGATGGTTTCTGCGGTTGTCTGACCACCGTTTCTACCTGGGTGGCTGAGCTTTCATCACTGAGGAGGAGACACGCTTATGTATATGGTTGTGCGAGCGTCATTGTCTCGCTGGCGTTCATGGTGGCAATCATGGGCGGTCTGCGGTGGAGCGACGGGTTTGCTGAGCTCAGATGTTTACACTGAACACCGCTCGATATAATTAGCCATGGGTCTTGATCCGTCTTGATAGATGTAACTAAACATCCAGAGACCTGGGTTTGATCTGACATATCTGTAAGCATTGGCTCTGTTATACCTCTGTACATACCATCTAGAGAAGTGAAGCGACACTCGTCCATCTTGCTTGTTCCTGACTCTGCCCCTTTGCTTCGTACATACCAAGACTCATAGACTCAATAGACTCATAATACGCTGGCTCCACCAAGCGACAGGCTGGCCAGTAACACATTCAAGGTAATAACATGAAATTCTTACGTAACAGCCCGTTTGGCGTAGTGGTAGCGCGTGTCACTTGTATCTTTCTCAAGTCTGCGATGACAAGGTCGCTCGTTCGATCCGGGCAATGGGCATGTGTTTTGATCTCTGTACCTTTTGCTTTACCCATCGATGTCCTTGTCCCTCAATTTTATTGTTTGATCTCCTCTGCGGTGTATCTTGTCATGATGTGGAGAAAACTGGGGTCGAAGGATGTTGGCCCCATAGGTAGGTACTGATCAGTGAAGCAAGTTGCGGTCGAGCGACATGACTGGAAAGAGCGATGGGTTGGTCGCACTTCTTGAATCTTCAATACAATTTGAGGTTCCTAAGTTCACCGTCAATCTGTGCTCTGTTTGCACACAGTCCTGTTGTCGAATAATGTCGAAGGGGCTGCCCGCAATGCCCTTGTGGCAGGTTTAGAAGAGCCTGTGTATCGCATCTGATCCGGTCTACGCCCGAAGCATGCCAACTACCTTACACCGAGCCATCATTCACCTTCCTTACTGTCTTCCGGACGGGCAAGGGTGCCTGTTTAAGCTGCGAGCAACGCTATCAGTACAGCTAGAAAGACCACCCTATGATACCAAGAAGCGCATAGAGCACACCAGCTACGCTTGGTTACATCCTATCACCCGAGTACGGTGCATTGATCCCAACGCATCTGGTAGAACACGCACCGCCCGATTCTACATTTCTCCAAAATGTGGTCCCTGCAAGAGCTCTACTAATCCAATTCCCAATGAGTTCATACCGTTTGATATCGCCGTTGGTGAACCGAGCTTGTAACCCGTCAGGCTGGCGTGGAGACCTCGTCTAAGGGTTGGTATGGTGCTGTCAGAAACAGCCATGAGCATTGAGTCATGTAGCCGGTAGCCTGTTAGGAACCTTCAATTTGACCAGTGGTCAAGCGAAAGCCGGCTGTCCCCTTTGCCGACTTCTCATGACCCAGTTTCATTTGCCTAGGCTCACGAACTTCAGTCATCAATGTAATTGAGTTTTGCTTCGATGCTTGCTTGTTCATTTTTCATGCAGGTGTGCTTGACTCAGGGCTCTATCGCTGCGTCCTGCGGCGTGCTTGGGTCGTGTCCCACCAGGAAGTCTACCTCCTGGTGTCCTCGTTGCTTTTATCTCTTTCTATTAGTCCGATACACAAGCAGCGTACATACATAATCAATGGATTCGATGTGATAACGTCTGGTGCATGAAACTTGCTCCTGAGAAGCCCCTCTGGGACAGACGGCGCGGCACCTGGTCGAAACGAGCAAACGAGGCCAAAAAGGGTAAACGAGACTAAACGAACAAACAAGATCGCCAAGATACCACCAGCTGCGAAAATCAGCAGCCTGATAATTCATTGCATGCCTTGTATTTAGAAGACCGATATTTTCGTTGACGAGTTCAGGACAACGAGTCTTCTTTGCCATTCCCTCTAGTGTCCTGCTGGTGGTATACGCAGCAACAGCCCTTCAACGATGGTGCACCACATGAAGACGAGAAGCCACACTCGCGCGGCCAAGTTGAAGCGTGACTTTGTCCAGAAGATGAGACTACGGGGTGACACAGGCTTCAGCTGTCCGTCCTACCGAGAGCTGGACCAGCAAACCTACCTTCGCGCAATGCAGGAATTGGTCCAACACGTCGAGAAGGCAAACAAAGGGTCAAGTCATGAACAACTGACGGCCACGGACATTCTCGACGAAGAGTCCAAGCAATCCATGAATTCAACCAGCGGTCGAAGGCGGTCGAAGAGGATACATGAATCCAGAGTCAATCATCCAGATGAGGGAGAGCTTCATGCGACTATCCCACGCCCGATCGCACCTCGTACCAGAAAGGGCGGAAGACATAGCAAATCTGACCCGACTCACTGTGCGACATCCATGCTATCACCGCCAGTGTCTCTCGTCAGCGACATCGTGTTTCACCTCGATTTCGAACGGGCCGTCATTAGTCGTGACAGTTTGGGCAATGTAAAACAACAATTTCCGGTTTCAAAATCCAGCGACGGTCCTCCGCCTAATGTTCGACGCAGCGTGTCCCTCGCGAAAATGAACGAAATCATTACTCTTGAAGGGGAGTTCATGAAGTTTCTCGGGTTCTAAGCCCGTGTCACCATCACTATCTTGAGACATCATTTGCTGGGAACGCTCTTGGGGACATGTTTGATTTCTATGAGAAGGCAGAGTTGTTCTGCTTCATATGTCGACTTGAGGTTGCATCTTCTTCAATCTGGAACAGCTTCTGTACTTGACGGGCTATACTAGCTACTGACTATCTTTGTTACGTTGCATAACTTGCGCCATCCTGCTCACTTTGTTGATGGGACGTAGTAGGGAAAAGCAGCAGTGGTGTAACATGAAATCCTCATTGTTGATGTTATAGTTACCTATCACTTCAGCTTCATGACTGTTCGTCCGATCATCTTTTCATTTTCCACACGGCGATGACCTATAAGGGTTTGCGAATATCCCAATTCTGAAGGAAGCACATAGGCAAGAAGTAACTCATAAGCACGTGGATAGAAACCAATTGAACTCGACTTGTTTGGGTGTCTAGATTACCTTACCGATGTGCCTATCTAGCGAAGCCTCGTTTTGGAGGTCCGAAGGCGTGACACCGCATATAGCGTGACACGCGTGAATATATTGTTTTCAAACATTTACACATTTGCCCACACCGTCTACATACATCTCGCCGGAAAGCCATGACCTGATGAACGTGAAGATGTAGTTGCCAATGTCAGTTTTCTCTACGGAAGGTGGACGTTGAGGGTAGATGTCAAAGGCATCGGCTCGGAGTCAAGGCGAGGTGAACCGTGATGAAAATGAGATTCCTATCAGCTATGTTGGTCTACTTTTGGGTTGTAGATTAATTAGTGTATAAAGAGTGACAAATCTGATGGCAGACATTAGACTGTTGCAAGAGCTTCAGGGAAAAAGCCTGAGGAGGAGCAGTTACTACGCTACTACTATTGCTAATTACTTAGGGGAGGGGACGTTTCCTAGAATGTCACCCGAGAACCTAACATGCCGCCTAACCAGCCACGGTCAGGCAGACTCGAAAGGTAGGAAGCCTTGTACCTGCCAATCTCGCTTCAAATCCTTGCTAGCCTTGCGTGATATGACTGAAATGTGTTACTTCAAGCCTCACGAAAGCGCTGTGCGGAGGGAAAGCGCTACTCGGCTGTAAATCTGTCTCATTGTCGTGCTTCACTACATATCCAACGCAAAAACAAAGTGGTATCTCATCTAGGTATTATCTCAATGACACATCAGCCAGACTCGCCCTTCACAAACACGCTCAGATATCAGCCTTTGAAATCTCGGCCTTGGAGAGGTCTTTCTCAGAATACCCCTCCTCACTGTCCCTCAGCGCGGGCGAGTGAATGACCTCAACATCCCGCTCGCCATCGAAGAAGCCCTCGCGGCCGTTCTTGGCCAGATACTCCCAGCTGGTCGGCATGTCGAACCCATCCGGATAGACCTTGGGCGGGAAGATCTTGATCCCCACAAAGTACACCACCGCAGCGGCCACGAACGTCAGGATCCAGCCAAAGGTGTACATGTGCTTTCCTGCGGCGCTGACGGCCTGTGGCTGGTACTGCGCCACCAGGCCCGGCAGACCCAACGACACGCCGGCGAGCCAGGCCACGACGCCGATCCAGTTGACACCGCCATTGAACCAATACAGACTGCCCTTGGTGCCGTTGTAGAGGGACGGGACGTGGACGTTGCCTTTACGGGCGAAGGCGTAGTCGACGAGGATGATCTTTGCTGCGTTAGCCTAATGGTCTTCCGCTCAGTCGGGATTGCAGGGATGGAGAACTTACAGCACAAAGCGGAGCCATAAAGATGTTGTAGCTGCCGAGGAAGGACAGAAAAGACGCAGCGCTGGCGATCAACTCCCAAGGCACGACACAGATGCCCAAGATGGCGCACAGCACCTGTCCGCGGCGGATGCTGAGGTAGCGAGGGAACAGACCCGTCATATCAGCGCCGAAGGGAATCGAGTTGGCGCCAAAGTTGACAGCCATGGCGGAGAAGAGAAAGCTGAGCGACACGAGGAAGACGGCCGTCCGAGCGCCGGCGTTCCAGTGGTGGTCCAGGATGGCAGCAAGCAAATCCCAAATGTTCCAGTATGCCTTGCCCCAGGCGCCCTGGATCGAGGCCGTCGCGGCCAGGCCGAGGAAATAGACGAGGATCTTGGACAGGAAGACGGCTGCGCCCTGGACCCAGCCCGCGTCGCGGGTCTTCTTGCAGTATCGCGCCAAGTCGGGCTGGTTGATGAGCATGGGCGACAGGGTGCCCATGATGACGTTGATGCCGGTCATGATGGACCACCCGAGGGGTTGGTTCACTTTGCTAGCGGCAGCAGACGCGAGATCAATGGAAGCAATGCCGGTGCCGTTGGCCATACACCAGCCGAAAAGCCCAAAGGTGGCTACGGGCATGATGAACCCCTTGATGGTGAAGAGGTAGTGGATCTTGGTCGGGTGGACGAACATCTAGACCAGGGGTCAGCACCTTATCCACCTGTTGGGGAGGGCGAGGGAACTCACGAATGGCAACTCCATCAGCCACACCAGAAAGAAGCACAGCAGGATTGGCCCAGCAACATGTGCGGATGTCGGCAACGTGTTTTTGAAGTCGGTCCAGTTGTGTCCGAAGATGCAGCGGAAGCAGACCGCCAGCAGGTTGGCGCCGTAGTACGACTGAATCCCGTACCAGACGATGCAGACGATGGCACGAATGAAGATGAAGAAGTACGATCCGTACATGCCCATGACTGAACGCGCGAGAACAGGACTAAGTGCACCGTTAGTGTTGTGCTCGAGCGCAAATAAGGGCACTTAACAAGTGATTCACTCACTATCCAATATGATACTGCACACCTGGTCTAGCCATCGCCATGACGACGAGGCCGGCGATCAGGGACCCGATGATACACGAGATGAAGGCTTGTCGCCATGTCAAGCCGACATTGATCAAGCTGGCCGCCACGTTCCAGCCCGTGGGACCAAAAACGGTGAACCCCCAGTAGAGCGGCAGGTTGTACCACGTCCATGTGCGCTGCTCCGGCGGCGTGGGCGCGA